TCTCAGGTGCTCATGGCAGGTCTTGACCTCAGGAGTGATTTCTATTCAACAACTGCCTTGGTACACTCTCCTGTCCACCTGTTCTGAGCGGCCAAGAGGGTATGCTCTGGACCATTTGGACCAGGAACTGGAGAAGAGGGATCTCAAAGGAGGGAGCTGAACAGGAAAGTGTACGTGAGTGGAGAGGACCAGGGAAGGATGTGAAGTGTCAGTAAAGGAGGAAGAGGAGGTGGGTCTGGCGATGAGAAGTCTTGAATTCCTTTTTCTAGTGGGCATGGTGAAGGATGGTGAGACTCATTCTAAAGCCAGAACAGATGCCTGGGCCCTGAGGTGGGCATGGGCTGGCTCTTTTCTCCCATCAGATCAAAGCGAGAGGCTTCCTTTCTTCCATATTTCCCAAACCTAGCACATATGGCCAGGCCTCACGCCCAGACTTAAATCCAACCCTTTCAAGGTCCTCCTTCTGGAACCACCCATTTTTATGGTTGTGAGACTACTTGGGAAAAGATGTGTAATCAGGTTCTCTGGCTCTCCTCATCACTCCACCTGCCTGCTCTCACACTCCACCCCCAGCCCACCCACCTACCCTCCCCCATCCTGCTTATTTCAGTCTTGGCAGCCTCTCGTGCCAGCACCAAGATCCAGAAGGCCCCAGAGCTCCAAGTTCTGGGCCCAGCTTCGCCACCAGCCCTCCAGGCATTTCCCGTGGCTGGTGCTCCCTGGGCTGCTGTGTTCCCACTGCCAATTGGCATGCTAGTTCTATGTCTGGGAAGAGCTGGGTTATAGATAAGACAGGGGCTGAAATGAGAGCTCCCCTAGGGTACAGCCAGTTTGTTTTTTTTTTTTCAAATGCCTAGCCCAGCCCAGTCCAGTCTGGTCCAGCACAGTTCAGTCCAGTCCAGGTGCACCAGGACAGTTAAGTTCTCTGTAGAAGCAGCTGTCTTTCTTTGAGCCTAGAAGGTCAAGTCATTGTGTTTGGGACTATGGGAACTGAGGAAGAGCACTGGATTGTGGTTTAAGCACCTGGATACAAGCCAGAGATAACTATTCCAGGGAAGTAAGACGCTAGGCAGGTCATTTAGTTCCAGATAAGACTCAGTTTCTTTATCTGAGAAATGGACCTAAGAACAACAGACACACACCTTTGTGTACACACTACTAATGGTAGAGATCAAATTGGTCAGAATCAAAGGTCAAGGTAAGAAAAGAGTGGAAAGAAATGAAGTAGGGACAAATGCCAAGGCCAGGTAAAATGGACTTGCCACCAGGAGCAGAGTCTCCCAGGGCGTCATGGGATGTTCTTTGAGACATACTATTCAAATTACAGTCCTCATCCCCACGTGAGCACCAGTATGAGGACTCATGCACCTGGCTCCAGCAGGTGTCAGAGCCTTCCAAAGATCCAGATCCTACAGCAGACTGGATCTCTGGAGTGTGGACTTGTAAGCTGTGAAGTGGCTCTGAGCCACTTGTCAATTGCAGAAGAGCCTAGTGGAGTCAAACCTAGTGGGTGGGAGGTTGGAGGTGAGCAGTTAGCCTCCTGCTGAGCACAACCTGAAGTCAAGTGTAGCTGTGGTTGTTCGGTAAAAGCTCCTGAAGGAATGTGGACAGGATTGGGGGTGAGGTGGGGTCCAGGTCAATGGGGAGCATAGCATGAGCTCTGAAGGAGAGTGCCGCTCCTGAGAGGTGTAGAGCTTGGTTGCCATAATTTTATGAGTAACATATAGTATGAGAGATGAGGGGGGTCAAATGTCAGAGGAAATAGAGCATGCCCAGTTAATCTGAATCTCTGATAGATTACAATCTGTTCTCTTGGTGTGCCTCCTGAAATACTGGGGCGTAATTATACCAAACGGCTGGTTATCTGGCGGTTTGAACTGAATAGCCTGTGCTTTTATTTGAAAAAAACTTGGGTTTGGGCTAGGAGGTCTTGTCTGCCAGACCTGCCCAGGCCCACTCACCGGAGAAGAACTGGCTGATTGAAGTGGGCAGGAGCGTGAGGAAGGCCAGGGGATGGGCGAAGGAGATGGAAAGGACAGCTGAGATGTAGGCCACGCCGGCCACCATGGAGTAAAGACAGGCCAGTGAAGTGTAGAGGCAGAACAGGATGAAGTTGCGCATGTTCCTGCTACCGATGCAGTTGCCAGTGAAGAAACAGTGATGGTCGTGCCTCAGCGTGACTCGGGAGCACACTCGGCAGAAGTGGGTGCTGGGTGGTGGGCACTGAGATCGCTGGGATGAGGTTCCCTGGCAGGTACCCAGGTCGTCTGGGGAGTTCTGGATGACCAGGATGTAATTGCCCAGGGCATTGGCTGAGAGGAACAGGAAGAGCGCCCCGTGAAGCACGGCAGGCGAGAAGAGCGGGGTGGCTGTGGGGTCCTCTCGCATGCTGGGCAGGAAGAGGAAGAGCTGCAGGACGAAGGTCACCAGGGAAATGCAAAGGAAGTAGGCGGGGGCCACCACGTTGAGCAGCCGCAGGGCCAGCATCCTCCTCCTCGATTACATTCCTAAGGGGCGCAAGGAGAGAGGAAGCCTTACAGCGTTGTCCAGGGTCATCCTGGTCCTCTTCTCCTTGGTCGAAGGTCCGGAGGGCTGTACACAAATCTCCCAAACTCTGCCCCCTCGGACCACCCTTTCCTAATTTAGGACCAAGCAGGTTAGAAACCCAGAGACCACAGCGGGCCTGCCTCTGGCCAGACCTACTTCGGATAAGAAGTCCCGGTTTCCTTGGAGTCATGGAGGTCAGGCACAGGAGGGAAGGGCCTGTTTGCAGTCTGGAGTGATTGTATGTGGGGGCGGCGTGGGGTTTAGGAGCTGAGGGGTAAAACTGCTACGGTATCACGGTAGTGAAAACCCATTTTTGGGATCTCTAGCTAAGGCTTCTCTAGGAGAAAGAACGATCCAGTGGGGGTGGTGAGACCCGCTCGACTCTTGGAAATCTTGATTCACCCCTCCCCCCAACTCCTGTCTTGAGCAATATTCTGTGACCTCACAGGTTACCCAAGGCTCTCTGGAAGTAGTTGTGCTGTGGATCATGATGTGTGTTCCCTTGCCTGCGACTCTACGTGTTTTCTGTGTGCCTCTGGGTATGTGTGTGTATACCTACCCCCTGCCACCTGGCTTTTTCTTTTCAAAATCAATTAAAAAATCGATACAGTGTTCAGGGGCTGGGGAGGGTGGAGGTATAGCTAGACTGCTTGTGCCAGTGGGTCCTGATCAGTTCATTTCCCAGCCGCTGGTTGCCCTGACTATTTCTATAAAATCTTTGCAAAAGAGTGTTTTCCTCTGAGGCAATGAAATTGAAATCCCCCACTCGCACCCGCCTTTCGCTTTCCTGGCGGGAGAAACCCAAACAATCCCCAAGGCGCCTAAACCCTTTCGATGCCAAGAAGCTCGTCCTGGGTGGACTCGTGGATGGATGCTTGGCAGCATTTCCTGGGTTGACACCCCTACACAGAGCTGAATGCAGCTTCACCTCTTACAGCCGGGGCCTCTGCCCGACTTCGGATACCACGGGGAAATGGGTTCTGTGTGTGGAGGAGAACTTTCCAGTGGTCTAAGTAATCGGCCAGAAGGAGGCACGAGAAAAGTTCTGGGAAGGTGGCTGCACCCAGGATGGATGGATGCCACAGGGCCTGTGTCCAAGCTGTCCCGTCCATCCGGGCTGAGACATTGGTCACCTTGAAATCTTCTTTGCAGGTGACTGTGTTTACCGCTCTGGGGACCTGCAGTCTCTCTGCACAGCTGGGGCGCAGCTCAGGGCACGACTCTGTGATCGCTGGGGCTCAGCGTCCCCATAGCCATGCATCCCCGGAGGCCACGGGGGCGCTGCCCACTTCATAGAGCCCTAGGTACCGGGCTCCGGCGAGGGAAGCAAGTGTCTTCCCGGCGCCAGTCGCCAGGGGGGCGCGGGAGCAGCCTCCAGATGCGCCGCGGCTCTGGGAAGGCGAAGGACAGGGGCTGGGGGAGTGCGGGGCGCCCGGTGGGCAGGCGCAGTCGGGGGACCCTGCGTCCCGCAAAGGCCCGCAGAGAGTGACTGGCGACCCCGAGCGTGGGGAGCTGTCCGCTCAGCACCGGCGTCCGCCCCACCGGCCTCTGAGGGCGGCCCCGGAGCCCTGCGGACCCAGGCAGCACGGGCACCCGCCGGTTCCTCCGCCACTGCCTCCTGGACGCCCGGGCAGCCGCCCCCCGGAGCGGCCGCAGCGCCGCAGAGGACTAGGGAACGAACTCACCGAGCTCGGATCGCGACAGGAAGAGCCCTGGACGCCGCCGGCCTTGGTTATCCCCGAGGCTGCAAAGTTATGGGCTCGCCCGACTGGCTCGCAGCCTCCTCACGCTTCGCTTCGGGGACTGGGCAGGTAGCGGGGGTGTGGGGAGGAGGGAGCGGGCAGCTGCCGCCCTTCTACTTGGGCGCCAGAGAGTGGGGGCCAGGAGGCGGCGGGGATGGCAGCTGGGCACCCCCCAGCTCCGCCACCCCTCCCTCCGCTCCTGGGGGCGGTGCTCTGGCCACTGGCTCAGCACTGAGGACTTGCCCCCCACATCCCCGCCCTTCTCGGCTCCCCCAGGGCGGGTTGTGGCGCCCTGCCCTACTGCAACCCCAGTTCCAACTGGGAGATGGGGATTCAGCCCTGATACAGTAGTTCCAGCCATACCCTGACCTCCCCTCCTCTTCTCTTCCTGTCTACCATCCCTCCCTGCTGTTGGCCAGGACCAAGGAAACCTTGTGTGTGTATTAGGGGGTGAGGGGATGTGGGCTGTAGAGAGCTCTGCTTACCAGGGCAACACCCATGAAAATCAGCATTATCTCAGAAGGTCTGTGAACTGAGGGGTGAGAGCCAACGTACCTGGGTGCCAATATCCACCGTTTAGTATTTGCTGGGCGAGCCTATATTCCAGGGTCTTGTGTAGAATAGAAGATTGAACGACAGTGGCTGTTTGTGTCTTAGGTCATCCATCATTAGCACTACAGATTGGCCCTTTCCTAAGTAACAGGCACTGTGCTGAACCCATGACCTGACAGCAGCATTAATCCTCCAATACGATCCCAGAAGCTTGCTGAGCCCCATTCTAGGGCCAAGAAGGTGATGCTAAGTCACATGCCCAAGGTCATGCAGCAGGTGAGTGGTGGGGCCTGGTTTTGAACCTGGTTCTAGCCCGATGCTCCTGGTTTCAGCCTCTGCCCACTTCAGCATCCCCTGGGACCCGGGGGGTCGGCTTTGGTTTGGGAGAGGGGAGGACAACAGGGCTTTTTCCAGACACAGACTGGGACCTGAGCTTCTCCTGCCCCTGTGTGTCTCCTTCTCATACTGTTTTCATGTGTGTGCCACGAGACAGCGAGAGGGTGGTGACACTAGTGTATGGCATCCGTGTGTGTGTGTGTGTGTGTGTGTGTGTGTGTGTGTGTGTGTGTGTGCATCCATGCATGTAGGGGGAGTCTAAGACCATGAAACACCACAAGAATATCCATGCTTTTCCTAGCCTCAGTCTCCCAAGCTGTCACAGCTCCCAAGGCCTTCCCCACTCCTCTGTGTACAAGCAAACATAATAAATGCTTATTGGCATCTCAACTGGCTGATTAAAACGAGCAATCCTTTGAAGCGAAGGCCATATGCCGATCGGCTTAGCCTCTATTTTTGAATCATCAGACACTGTTTTCTCTGTATTTTATCAGCATACATAAAAATAAAAAAGGGGCCAGGAAGCCTTTTCGTGTTCTAAAAGGATCTTATACACGAGAGGAAGAACAGCATTCCAGGTGGTAGCTCCTGAGAATCTGTTGGCCCAGGACAGACACAAGGAAGCACAAGAGGTCTTTTTCCTTTAAGGGCAGCTTTGAGTCACGGGCTGCCTGGCCCCCTGCACAGGCTCTGCCTGCCTCTCACACAGGCTTGGGATGGAGGGGACCCAAAGGCCTCAGTCTGGGCCATACTGATTGAAAATCTCCATTCCTTAAATACCTTGAGAGTTGGGCATGTTTCTAATTTTATTTTGCATATGGGTGTGTGGGGGGAAGGTGAGTGGTGTGTGTGCTGAATTATCGTGTGAGGGGTAAAGAAGAGGAGCTAGGCAAATGTGGGAAGATGTCAGTAGGGGAAGAGACGAATCAGCCCGGAGGGAGGAGATGGGTGCTACAGACAGGAATGAACAGGAGAATTATTTATTTAGAAGCCAAATTTATCAACAGAAAAGGATGTTAGAGCTGGAGTTCTAAGCCTAGTGTACAGAGCAAGAGGAAGAACAGCCAAGTGCTTTGCCCCGACAAGGCCCCATAGGGAGGTCAACCGGAGACTTCACTTTGATTGTGGCCTTGAGTTAAGCAGATCATACTTCATTGCCACTTACCAGCCATGTGAACTTGAAAAGGTAGTGTAACCTCTCTGCACTCTGCCTTCTCACCCATAAGACGAGAACACTGTCCATATTTGTGACCATGGCAAACAGGATGCTGAGCTGGGGGTACCAGGACCAGAGGGACACTTCAGCACTCTTCTCTCCCATCAGTCCCCTCTCTTTCTTCTAGGCTCTTACCTCTATCTCTTTGTCTTCTTTCTAAAACGAGAACTCCCATCCCATCCTGGATTAGAAATATCAGGGAAGGAGGTGTCTCTGATTTGCCCGGAGTAGACCAGAGCAAGTATTCTGTTTGATGAATCCATACTTGTCTCTCTGGAAAGGAAAAACCTGTATTTTGAGGTTTTGAAATGCCTGGCGAGGACACATTTGCCATTGATCTTCCATTCCGCCACCACCCACCCCGGCGATAGTCCTGTTCTCCTCAAACAGCGTCAGAAAGTAGTTTCTAAACCACATTCTCCATCAGCCTTATCATCTACTCTCATAGCCGAGCTGCAATGGCACCTGCAGGGGCTCCCGAGGGGGCAGGGAATCAGACAAGTATCTGATTGCTGCTGAGCACTCTCCTGGAGATACGTGCTGTAAACCTTTCAATTTAGTGGTATTATCTGAGTGAAATAAACTCCCTTCTGAGTGGCAAACATTCCATTTTACCGCAAAATGTAGTATCCAGAGGAAGAAATTCCATGAAGTGAGCAGGTGCTTCTCCCTGGGGTGACAGACCCCCCCATGTCTGTCAGGCTCCCCCTACCTTTAGAATTGGAGGCTGTTCCTCAATGCAACAAGCTGGGGTAGAGAATGCGGATGGGGGGGATGTTTCATTTTCATGCTTTTAGCGTAGGTAGGTCATGGAGAATGGAAACTGGGGTCTCGAGGTTAACCAATAGTCTGAATTAAGACCGTAATAGATACCCCTACACAGAATGCTCTCTACAGCGGACAGCTAACCACAGCCTTGAGGGACCACAAAGTACTTCCGAGCCTCAGAAGGCTTAATAAGAAGACGCCATCCCTGCCTGCGCAGATTTGGAAACGGTCTTCATGTGATCCTCAGCCAGCCACACACATCGGAATTGGATTATCCCGGAACGTCTACCTGGAGGTGCTACTTTATTTCATCCACATCGCCTCCGTTCTAACAGCAACTGCATTACTTTGCTGTAATAAGGTAGCAGCCCCACAAAATTAAAATCTCATTCCATGGAGTCTCTCAATAGCCCTGTAAGCTAGCTGGGAGGAGAAGCGGTATTAAACCCATTTTTCTTCTGGGAAAGCTGAGGTTCTCGAGTTCTGTTGCAGGCTAACGGCTAAGCCTCACCTGTGTCGGATTCAGCATGTGACTTGAAAACCTAGGCATGGTGATACGTTCCTGTAATCTCAGGACTCGGGGAACAGTAGTAGAAGAATTCAGGACTTCAAGGCATATCCACTTTAGGGCCAGCCTGGGTTGTGTCTGATTGGCTCAAAAACAACAACAACAACAACAACAACAAAACAAACAAACAAACAAACCACCCCCAAACCCCAAAGAACGAGCCAACCAATAAATGCACTTTCCTCAATACATTTTGCTACGCAAAGGTTTCACCAATACTTGTCTTTTCTGGAACGTGACATTTACATAATTGCATAAAGAAAGGAGGTGGGTCATACATATGCTTTCCAGAGTAAGACCTGCCTCATCTCCCCTTATCTGAAACCGCACTGCTCCTTCATCCATGTCCCCCTACCCTGAAGTATGTATCCCCAATACACTGGACACCACTTGACTGTTTGCCCCCCTTTACCAGAATGCCAGCTGCCTGAGAGCAGTGTGTAGACCATGTCAGTCACTCTGTGTCCCCAGTGCCTAGCACAGTGTCAGGTGTGTAGGAAGTGCTCAGTACGCACTAGCTGCCCACGTGAGTGGATGCTAGGGGCACACACACACACACACACACACACACACAAACACACACACACACACACACACACACACACACACACACACGCACACACACACACATTCTTACTCATTGGATGCCCTCAGGTGCTCTGCTATCTGTGGTGCTAGAGGAGGTGGATGCGACAGAGGTGCTCAGCATCCAGGCCCCACATGTCAAGGAAGAAACAACAAGGTCCAGGTGACAGGTAGCCAGCCCTGCGGCTCTCTCTGATGACAGGACACCTCGGGGTGAAAAATCTTTGCTTAGCTTGGGAGAGCCCCTCTTTGCAGGGCTCAGGCCTCAGAAGGATGGAGGCAATCTTTCCCCCAATTAGCCACACTTTGCTGGGACCACTTAGGCAGCCCTGGTAGGGATGCTGATGGCTGGGGACCAGCAAGAAGCTCAGCTCAGAGGTGGGGGTGGTAGCAGGATTAATTGGTCCTTTCATCTCAGAGCATGCAGGAGGTGGGAGAGTTGTGGGGGGAGAGGGAGGCAGAGGGCAGGGCAGAGAAGAGGGGCAAGGAACTGAGTGGAGATGGGGGGGTGGCGAGAGTGTGCTTGTCTGGCACCCCACAGCCAGTGTCTTTATGATGGAGGATGTTCTGGAGGCACAGGGGGAAGTCTTTGGCCTCTGCTGAGAGCCCTCCCGTGCCAGGTGTCCAGGATGGGAAGAAATGAGGCAGAAGGCTGGCATCTCAATTAGGGAAGGAGGGAGGGAAGACTAGAACAGTGAGGTCACTGTAGTGCTCTTAGCTGTTCAGAGGCCTCTTGGATATGCCCCTGTGGCCATAGAGCAGCAGGCAGCACACTCCTCCTATCCCTGATCCCTCCCACCTCACTCTCCTGTCCCAGCAGAGAGCCCAGAGCCCAGGAGAGATGACAAAATGTGGTCTGACAATAAAAGCATCAGCATTTGGTGCTCACTGGCCTGGACTTGAATCCCTTTTTTTTTTTCTTTTAATTTATTTTAATTTATTTTGCAATACAATTCAGTTCTACATATCAGTCACGGATTCCCTTGTTCTCCCCCCCTCCCGTCCCCTTCACCTTCCCCCCAACGCCCCCCCCCCCCCCATTCCCATCTCCTCCAGGGCAAAGCCTTCCCCACAGACTGAGGTCAACCTGGTAGACTCAGTCCAGGTAGGTCTAGTACCCTCCTCCCAGGCCAAGCCAAACAATCCTGCATAGGCCCCAGGTTTCAAACAGCCAACTCATGCAATGAGCACAAGATCTGGTCCCACTGCCTGGATGCCTCCCCAAACAGATCAAGCCAATCAACTGTCTCACCCATTCGGAGGGCCTGATCCAGTGTGGACCCCTCAGCCATTGGTTCATAGTTCATGTGTTTCCATTCATTTGGCTATTTGTCCCTGTGCTTTATCCAACCTTGGTCTCAACAATTCTCGCTCATATAAACCCTCCTCATTCTCGTTGATTGGACTCCCAGAGATCCACCCAGGGCCTAGTCATGGATCTCTGCATCCAGATCCCTCAGTAGTTGGATGAGGTTTCTAGCACAACAATTAGGGTGTTTGGCCATCCCATCACCAGAGTAGGTCAGTTCGGGCTGTCTCTCGACCATTGCCGGCAGTCTGTTGTGTGGGTATCTTTGTGGATTTCTGTGGGCCTCTCTAGCACTTTGCTTCTTCCTGTTCTCATGTGGTCTTCATTTACCATGGTCTCCTATTCCTTGTTCTCCCTCTCTGTTGTTGATCCAGCTGGGATCTCCCGCTCCCCCAAGCTCTCTTTCCCTCGACCCTCGCCTTTCATTACCCCCACTCATGTCCAGGCTGTCCATGTAGATCTCATTCCATTTCTCTGTCATTGGGCGATCCCTGTGTCTTTCTTGGGGTCCTGTTTTCCAGGTAGCCTCCCTGGTGATGTGAGTAGCAGACAATTCATCCTTGTTTCATGTCTAGTATCCTGCTATGAGTGAGTACATACCATGTTTGTCTTTCTGAGTCTGGGTTACCTCACTCAGGATGATTTTTTCTAGATCCATCCATTTGTCTGCAAACCTCATGATGCCATTGTTTTTTTCTGCTGAGTAGTATTCCATTGTGTATATGTACCACATTTTGTTTATCCATTCTTCAGTTGAAGGGCATCTGGGTTGTTTCCATGTTCTGGCTATTACAAACAATGCTGATATGAACATAGCTGAACAAGTGCTCTTATGGTGTGGTTGTCCCTTTATTCTTATTCAGTTATTGTCCAACCTTGGGCGAATTCCTCTGCCTCCCTGAGCCTCCAATTACATCGCCATGAAATGTGAGTCTATCAAGAGTTTCATTCATTGGTTTTTTTTTTATTATTTGTTTATTTATTTATTTTGAGATAGAATCTAACATAGTCCTGGCCTCAAGCTCACTGTCCCTGAAGATGACCATGTCCTGCTGGTCTCCCTGCCTTTACCTTCTGAGTACTGGGGTTCCAGGTAAGTGCCATGGAGCCTGGTGTCTGTGATGTGGGAATCAGACACAGGGCCTCCTGCACACTAGGCAAAGCACTTTTCCAATTAAGCCACATCTCTAGCCACCACCATGAGTTTTAAGCAGCAAAGAAGTCACTTCAGGAATCCCTTCCTTTCTACCTTACATGGCCTCTCGCTTCCTGTCCATGTAGTCCTGTCTGCCTCGGGATGTTTACGCTGGACAACTTTCCTCGGTGTCTTTCTCCTTCTCTTTCTCTCTCTTTTTGAGACAGAGTGTCACTATGTGAAGTTTTAACTGGACCAGAACTCACTCTGTAGACCAGGCTGGCCTCGAACTCACAGAGATCCGCCTGCCTCTGCCTCCCCAGTGCTGGCGTTAAAGGCGTGTGTCACTGTACTGGCTGCTCTATCTTTTGTTTATTGCTTCTTTTTAGCAACAACCTCAATGGCAGGGCCTTCCCTGGCAGCGTTTTTGCGTCTTCTCCCCAAACACAGAGTCTACCTCGGGGTGGGGAGGGGCCCAATAAATATTTGAATGAGGGCTGGAGAGATGGCTCAGCGGTTAAGAGCACCGGCTGCTCTTCCAGAGGTCCTGAGTTCAATTCCCAGCAACCACATGGTGGCTCACAACCATCTGCAATGAGAGCTGGTGCCCTCTTCTGGCCTGAAGGCATACATGCAGGCAGAACACTGTACACATAATAAATTAATCTTTAAAAAATATTTGAATGAGCCGGGCGGTGGTGGCGCACGCCTTTAATCCCAGCACTCGGGAGGCAGAGCCAGGCGGATCTCTGTGAGTTCGAGGCCAGCCTGGGCTACCAAGTGAGTCCCAGGAAAGGCGCAAAACTACACAGAGAAACCCTGTCTCGAAAAACCAAAAAAAAAAAAAAAAAATATTTGAATGAATAAATTACAACTAAGTACAATTGCTGGGTGTGGAGGTACACATCTTTAAATCCCAGCACTTCAGAGGCAAGGCAGGTGGATCTCTAAGTTTAAGTCCAGCCTGATGTACAGAGTGAACTCCAGAACAGCCAGAGCTGCACAGAGAAACCCTGTCTTAGAAAAACCAAACCAAGCCAACCCAATAAAACCCTCAAATAAGTACAATTATAAATAGATAATAAATTGTACCTCAATATCTGACTTTTAAAAATCAGGCTTGAGGGGCTGGAGAGATGGCTCAGTGGTTAAGAGCACTGACTGTTCTTCCAGAGGTCCTGAGTTCAACTCCCAGCAACCACATGGTGGCTCTCAACCATCTGTGGCACTTATAATAAATAGCTAAAAAAAAAAAAAAAAAAAAATCCAAACTTTGCCGGGCGGTGGTGGCGCACGCCTTTAATCCCAGCACTCGGGAGGCAGAGCCAGGCGGATCTCTGTGAGTTCGAGGCCAGCCTGGTCTCCAAAGCAAGTTCCAGGAAAGGCGCAAAGCTACACAGAGAAACCCTGTCTCGAAAAACCAAAAAAAAAAAAAAAAAAAAAAAAAAAAAAAAAAAAAAAAAAAAAAATAAAAATCAGGCTTGAGGGGCTATTGAGATGGCTCAATGGTTAAGAGCACTGACTGCTCATCCAGAGGACACAGGGATTCCCAGCACCCACATGGTGACCCACAGTCATCCTCAACTCCAGTTCCAAGAGAACTGGGGCCCTCCTCTGGCCTCAGACACATACTGCATGTGCACATACATGTAGGCAAGACACTCATACATATGAAATGAAAATAAATAAACTTAAAAAAAATTCAGGCTTGAGAGATCAATGAATAAATAGAATCCAACCAAAGACACCCATTTCCTGCTCCCTGTTTTGTGCCAGGCCAGTGGGGTCAGGAGCCCTTGCGTATTTCACTTACCTTAGCCTCACCACAGCCCTGCCAAAAGCCAGACTCCACCAGTTCCATAGAGATTATGGCAGCTCAGAGTGGCTCAGATTCACTGAGGTTGTGACGATTATTGGCAGCAGGCATGAAATCCAGGGTCACTTGATTCCAAAGCTCTCACAGCACGTGGCCCCGTGCCTCTCACACACACGAGGCTTCACATGATGTAGAAATAACTTATTTTCTTACGGAGAGGTAATGGGCTGTGCTGCTAATGGCTTCTTATGCTTTCGTGTGAATCAGCCTTTCCCAGTGAACCGGGGTGGGAGGGAGTAAGCGTCTTCTTGGAAACGAGTAGGATGGGTGAGCGACTGGAGCTCAAAGCGTGCTGCAGGAGGGAGGGGAAGTGTCCCGTGGGACCAGAGGATGAGAAAGGAGGCAAGAGAGAAGAGGGACCAAAAAAACGATTCTGGGACTGCGTGTTGACATTTAACCTGAGCTCCCGATGTCACTCACCGCAGTCTGGAGCAAAAGTCAGTTGTCTCAGTCTAGTTTTCGTTGCTATAACAACATACCTGTGCCTGGGTGATTTGTAAAGAGCAGAGACTTGTTGAGCTCATGGTGGAGGATGAAAAAACTCAAGAGCATGGTGCTGATGTTTGGCAGGGCTTCTTGCTACACTGGGGGACAGTGAAGTTTGTCTCATGGTGGAGACCGAGTAGGTGTGTCAGGCAGAACCCTCCTTTGTCATAAGGCCGCTTTTCCTATTAGCCCCACTGACCCATTAATATGTTAAGCCCCCACTCAGTGGCTTAGTTACCCCTCAACCGTGACGCGTGGGGGAAGTGAACTTGCAGCACACAAAATTTGGGAGCCGTGTTTAAAACCACAGCGTCTGTTACACTCTCTGCATCTCAGTTTCCCGATCTGTAAGACAGGGCTTTGTACAAACTCCGATACCATGGGGTTGTCACATAGATTAAAACCTGTGCAGAGCATGTGGAAGAGGGGCTGCATGGTCAGTGTTAGCTGGTCACTACTGTAATTAATTATCGCTGGGTTCCAGAGCATAGAAACGGTGATTACATTAATGTGGAGGTTTAATGAGTCAGTCTAAGATGGTGCTGACTCTATGAGGAGGTGAGACCCAGGCTCTTTCCATCTTGTTGCTCCTCCCCTTCTGATGTCTCATTGATCCAGAAAGGTTAAGCCTGTCTTTTTCATCTTGCTCATATTCCCTTCTGGAAGGGAGGGGCAGACAGGTCTATAGTAGCTTTTCTTGTCACTGTCACACAGAGTACTTGACAAGAAGCAACTTACAGAAGTGGTGCTTGTTTTGACTCCCAGTTTGACAGTATAGTGTATCCTGGAGAGAAAGGCATGGTGGTGAGAGCAGTCCCCAGCCCGTGGGTGGCAAGAATGTGAGGGGTTTGTTGATGATGATCGGAAAGTAGAGAGGGAGAGGGGGAGAGGTGGGGGGAGAGGGGAGAGAGGAGGGGGAAAGAGGGGGGGAGAGAGAGAGAGGAGGAAGGAAAAGTTGAGGGAGGAGAGGGGGAGAGGAGAGAGAGGAAGAAGGTGGGGAGGAGAGAGGAGAGAGAGAGAGAGAGAGAGAGAGAGAGAGAGAGAGAGAGAGAGAGAGAGAGGGAGAGAGAGAGAGAGAAGAGAGAGA